AGATAAAGTAATCTCACACTTTCTTTTTTACAGACCTTGAATTTCTTTCTTATATTCCATATTCTTTCATGGAGAGATACACTTGGAGAATACTTATTTTCAGGGTAAGAGAGTTTTCATGAATACTCACCATAACATATATTAAAAAGTCAAATGGACTAAGATACTGCCAAACTGCTATTCTTCTGCCTTTAACAAATTCTAAATCTCCTTAGTTATATTTTTTAAATTATAAAGTTCTTACTTAAAATGTAATGTATTTAATTTGCAATTATAAAAAAAACAGAAACTATAATTAAACAGGAAGAATATGTCCACCTACATTTTCATCTACATGTATTTTAATAAAACAGGGTCACACCACAAAAATTATCTCATAATTTTCTTTAGGTAATATGCAATAAATATGTTTAATGTAAATATGTTTAATGTTAAACACATTTGTGTAATAACCACTTCTGGAAAGTCTCATCTTAAGAAACTACTAACAGCATTTAATTTCCTATCACAAATAGCACAAAGATAAATAATAGTTAAACCTTTGTACATACTTAAGATAAATTCTTAAATGGAAGTGCTGAACAAAAGAGTATCAAGCACAATTTTTCAGGCCTGGGATAAATTCTGTCAAACTTTATTCCAGAAAAATTATTAACTGCACTGTAAATTCCCTCTAGCTATATAAGAACTAATTTTAGGTTATCTTAACAAATTAAAAAATAAAGAATATACTGATACCTAGTCAATAGACCACATACTTTCAGAACAAGTTTAATACTATTTCACTGACCTTAACAACCTCTAGGATGCGAACAGCACTAGCAAAATCATTTAACCGTCTGCATGCCCGCAAAGCAGCATCAATGATTTTGGGTTCTGGAACCAGATCATAGCCAACAAGCGTGTTCATCCCTGTCAAATTAAAAAGAGGGCCATATCAACCTGAAATAGTCTCACTTAAACTATAATTTAGTTATCTATATTTTTATTGAAACATAGACATATGATCTTGTCATTTATAATATATATTTGGTCTGTTTCTGACACAGAACCGTCAACCTTCCTTGGGATTTTCTAAGTGATGGGAGCAGAGTGGTGCCTCTTGTTATATTAAGGAGATAACTTTTGGACTCCCAAGAGTGGGTGTTGGATGCCAGCAGAGACCAACGCTGTGGACAGAAGACTGAAATTTTCACTCCCATTTCCTGACTTGCAGGGAGGAGAGAGGGGCTTGAGGTTAAATTAATTGCCAATGGCCAAAAACCTAATCAATCATGAGTAAGTATGAAGCCTCCATAAAAACCATAGGACAGCCCCTTGGTCCTTTTTTAGAGAGCTTCCACACTGGGGTACTAGAATGCTTCCATGAGCCACTGTGCTGGGCTCCAAGCTCCGTGAGGACAGAAGAAGCTCCTTCATTTGGGACCTTACCTTATGTATCTCTTCATTTGGCTGTTGATTTGTATCTTTTAATAATCGTTGTATAAATTGTTAATCTAGTGAGTAAACATGTTTTCTTGAGTTTTCTGAGTCACTGGAACCCGAGAAGGGGGTTGTGGGAACTTCTGATTTGTAGCTAGTAGGTCAGAAGCACAGATGAACAACCTAGGCTTGTAACCAGCCTCTAAAGTGCAGGGTAGTCTTGTGAGACCGAGCCCTTTACCTGTGGAATCTGATTCTACTTCTGGGTAGGGTAGATACTAGTAATGCCACACTGAACTGAATTCTTGGACAGCCTGCTGGCGTCCAGACTTGTTTGTTGATGTAGGGAAGCCTACATATACACATTAGAATTGGGTCCTGGAACCTATTAGGCCTCTATTCTCTTATCTATACAATGAGAGAATCCCACTTTTAACAAATCTACTTTTAACAGATGATAAGATCATAATGACTCTTCCACAATAAATTAGTGGAAAGAACTATGCACTATCCTACAAATTAAAGGAAAACAATAACAACAAAAAGCAATAAAAAAGACCCCAAAAAGACAAAAAAAACCAACCAAAGAATTCCTTAAATGCAAACACTATTTTTGTAATAATTTGCTGGTTTCATTTCAATTAAGAGGGTCACTTTATATCTTTAACTCTTAGTTCAATGTATGCACGTTGGTTGCTTTAAAATAGATTTGATTGGAAAATAATCTAAAAACACCCAGAGAAATGCGGAAGGAGAGTTAATGAAGCCCAAATGAAGACATTAAAGAGATATAGAGCCTGGTAGGTGTGGCACAGTGGTTCAGTGTCAAGCTATAAACTAGGAGGTCACAGTTCGATTCCCAGTCAGGGCACATGCCCAGGTTGTGGGTTCCATCCCCAGTAGAGGGCATGTAGGAAAGAGCCAATCAATGATTCTCTCTCATCATTGATGTTTCTATCTCTTTCTCTCTCTCTCGCTTCTTCTCTGAAATCAATAAAAAAATATTTTTAAAGAGAGAGAAACATTAGTGTGCAGACTGAAACATTCAACCAGAAAATAATTGGGCGTGATTACTTTGAGCTTTGAACAAAATAACACAATATTTAAACAAAGGACACCAGTGACTATAATGCTAGAATATAGTCACAGAGGCTGAACTCTTGGTCTCAGATAAATTGCCTACACTTAAAGCTATTTACATCTAACTATTAAGGCTAGTTATCACCTGGCCAGCGTGCCTCAGTGGTTGACCATTGACCTACGAACCAGGGGGTTGTGAATTGATTCCAGGTCAGGGCACATGTCTGGGTTGCTGATCAATGATTCTCTCTCATCATTGATGTTTTTGTCCTCTCTCTCTCTCTCCCTCTCTGAAATCAATAAAAATACATTTTTTAAAAAAGAAAAAGAGCCCTAGCTAGTTTGGCTCAGTGGATGGAGCGTCAGCCTGCGGACTGAAGGGTCCTGGGTTCGATTCTGGCCAAGGGCACATGCCTGGGTTGCGGGCTCGATCCCCAGTGGGGGGGCATGTAGGAGGCAGCCGATCGGTGATTCCCTCTCACCACTGATGTTTTTCTCTCTCTCTCCTTCTCCCTTCCTCTCTGAAATCAATAAAGAAATATATTTTTAAAAAAGAAAAAGAAAGATTAGTTATCATTAATGCTACTTACTCATGTTAAATGCACATCTGCAAATTTAGGAAAAATAAGTTCTAGCTTATTTAGACTGGACACTTATTCAGGGCAAGACAAATCATAACAGAGAATAAAAATAACAAAAAAACCAAAACTATAAGAGGGGAGAAGAACCAAATAACTACTTGCATAAATTATAAAAGATACAAAATTTAACTCTTGCTCACCTTGACATTATAGCAGTGGTTGCAATCAGAGGTGATTTTGTCCCCCAGGAAACATATTTGGTTGTCATAACTGGGGGTGGAAGGCATGGGGGTGGATGGCACCTAGTGGGCAGAAGCCAAGGATGCTGCTAAACATGTTACAATGCAAAGGACAGCCCTTGCAACAAACAATTATTTGGCCCTAAATACCATTATGCCTGCTTTAAAACCTTGCTTTACAGGAAACACTATGGAAGCTATACTATTTTCTTTTCTTTTTTAAAATATATTTTTATTGATTTTGGAGAGAAAGGGAGAGGGAGAGAGAGATAGAAACATCAATGATGAAATAGAATCATTGATCAGCTGCCTCCTGCATGCCCCCTAACTGGGGATCAAGCCCGCAACCTGGGTATATGCCCTTGACCGGAATCAAACCAGGGACCCTTCAGTCCACAGGCCAATACTCTATCCACTGAGCCAAACCAGTTAGGACTATAATATTTTCTAACTGCAAGTTGTATGAGAGGACTTGGTTAACATGAAGCATGTTTTGCTTTTAACACAGTAGTAGAAGACTACAAAACAGTTCATAATTCTATGTCAAAATAGACTGTTTAGCAATCTATATTACAATTACCTTTACGCAATTCCCAGGCATCAATATCTGGCTTGTTGAAGTATGTCACCCAGCGAGCATCAAATTCCTCATCTGTCTCATGTGACCCATGGGAGTAGCAGCGAACTGACTGGATACCTACAATGGAGAAATAATAACTTCAATGTACAGAAGTACTTAATATATCCTGTTAATACAATTAAGTTATATTTTTTTGTTTTCATTTCCCATTAAAACACATCCTACACAATAAAAGGCTAATATGCAAATTGTCCCTACTGGAGGAGTTTGACTAACTGCGAGTTACACATGTGCTGACCACCATGGGGTGGTGCGGAACATGGCAGGTGGCAGCAATGTGGCGCTGGCAGCGGGCGGCAGTGGAGACACTGCCGGCCCCGATGGGCCCCGAAGAGTGGGACCGCAGTGGGATGGTGGAGCAGGCAAGCGGGCAGCGCAAGGCTAAGGCGGGTGCGAAGGGAGGTCCCGGCTGGCAGCCGCTAGGGACCCTACCTGTGCATGAATTTCATGCACTGGGCCTCTAGTATAACATAAAATCTACCATCTTAACTATTTTTAAGTGTACAGTTCAGTAGCATTTAAATACATTCAGTGCATTAAGTTTTGAATCAACTGTATATCACAGTAGGAAAATTACTCAGTAGGTCAAATGAAACAAATTTTATGTATTGATATGAAAAAAAATCTTAAAAAAAATTAAACAAAGAAAAGCAGAACAAAGAGTATTATAGGTGTATGTTTATGCTCCCCTCCCCTCCCCTCCCAATGTGTAATGCTAACTTGCAATTGTTAACATTGGTTATCTTTGGAAGGAAAAACTTTCTTTATAAAGACAGTCCCCGGGTTACGTAGGACTTGATGTACGTCGTTTCGTGGTTAAGTCACCATCTCCCATTTATTTATTAAAAAAAAATAAGTCCCATCATTTTGACGTACGTATGTGCTTTATGTATTTTATTATTTATTTATCTTAATTTCTTTATTAAGGTATTACATATGTGTCCTTATCCCATTACCCCCCCCCCCCCCGTTGTTTATTATTTATTTACCACAAGGTCAGGAATTGTTATTTTTCTTTAAAATTTTTTTTTTACTGTTTCACTTCATTACTGCTGTGTATGTGCTCCATGTGAGTGACGTAGGTGCTTATGTAGGTGGGTTCCGACTTATGGCGAAAATCGTGTTACATCACGCCGTAGGAACAGATCTCCAACGTAACCTGAGGACCCACTGGACACTTCCAAAATGTCTGAATTTTTACAATAAGCAGAGTATTAATTCTTAATTCAAAATAATGTTCATTCTAGTTTTTTTTTAATATTTAAAAACATTTATTGATTTTAGGGAAAGAGAAAGAGGAAAGGAGAGATGGGGAAGAGAAACATTGATTTGTTCTACTTATTAATGGATTCATTCGTTGATTCTTGTATGTGCCCTGACTGGGGATCGAACTTGCAACCTTGGTATTTGATCTAACCAGCTGAGCTACCTGGCCAGAGCTTCATTCTAGTTGTTAAATTAATTTATAAGATATATTTTTCAGCTGAAACCGGTTTGGCTCAGTGGATAGAGCGTCGGCCTGCGGACTGAAAGGTCCCGGGTTCGATTCCGGTCAAGGGCATGTACCTTGGTTGTGGGCACATCCACAGTAGGGGGTGTGCAGGAGGCAGCTGATCGATGTTTCTCTCTCATCGATGTTTCTAACTCTTTATCTCTCTCCCTTCCTCTCTGTAAAAAGTCAATAAAATGTATTTAAAAAAAAGATATATTTTTCACAAATTAAAAAAAATTGTATGCTTTCTATTCTATGTAATAAAAGCCTAATATGCTAAGTGTCTGACCGTTCGACCAGTCACTATGATGTGCACTGACCACCAGGGGGCAGATGCTCCGAGCAGTAGGTTAGCTTGCTGCTGGGGTCCGGCCGATTGGGACTGGGCGAGATGGGCTGGACATGCCCTGGAGCCCTCCCTGGCTTCTAATGGCCCTGATCTAGATGAGCTGGATATGCCCTGGAGCCAACATCCCATGGTCCCTCCCTGGCCTCTAAAGTATTTCTTCTAATTAATTTCCTTTCAATGTGCATGAATTCGTGCACTGGGCCTCTAGTTAAATTATATTCCAAAATAAATTATACATCCTGACAAATCAATAATTTTTTAAAAAACACTATAAAATTTCTAAGTGAGATACTAAAATATATGTGTCAAGAAAACAAGACTTACTTAGCATTCTGCTCCCAATCATTATACCCTTTGTAGTACATATGAAAAGCCTTTCCATTTTAGTTACTGCCTTTCAAACGGACACTGAATTAGGAGTTAGGAAATGTAGAATCTTTCTAAACAGCCTCTGTATGGTAAGGGATGGAGGAGAAGGAAATTTTACCTTTGGGTTTTAGGAAACAGCAAGTTTTATCTTCCTTATTTGTAAAATGCAGATACCATTACCTTATCAGATTATGATGATTAAAAATGAAAGCCATCAGGGGGCAGATGCTCAGTGGTTGACTTATGAACCAGGAAGTCGCGGTTCAATTACTGGTCCGGGCACACGCCCCGGGTTGCGGGTTCGATCCCTAGTAGGTGGCATGCAGGAGGCAGTCCATGTAGGATTCTCTTTTTCATCACTGATGTTTCTATCTCCCTCTCTCTCCCTCTTTCTGAAAATCAATAAAAACATATTAAAAAAATAAAAATAAAAATGAAGGCCAGGTAACACTGTCTAGGACAATTCCTAGACTTTGTAGAAGGCAGTCAATAAATGACAACTATAAATTGATCCTTGTCTAAAAATGTCTTAACTGACCTCTATTAATGGATATCATAATTTATAGAAATAAAACATTCTTCAAATTGTATTTTCTATTAGATGAATTAGACAAGCTTGGTATAGTGTTTAGTTATTTTTAAAGGCTTATCAAATAAAACAACCCACCACTCCCACACGCATGCATGCACACACGTGTGCGCCCTGGCCAGGTAGGATAGTTGGTTGGAGTGTTGTCCTATATGTCAAGGTTGTGGGTTTGATCCCCAGTTAGGGCACACACAAGAATCAACCAATCCTATATAATAAAAGGCTAATATGCAAATCAACCGAATGGCAGAATGACTGGTTGCTATGATGCACACTGACCACCAGGGGGCAGATGCTCAACACAGGAGCTGCCCCTAGTGGTCAGTGCGCTCCCACGGGGAGAGCGCTGCTCAGCCAGAAGCCAGGCTCACAGCTTGCGAGTGCAGAGGTGGTGGCGGGAGACTCTCCCACCTCTGTGGCAGTGCTAAGGAGCAGTGAGCTGAGCAGTAAGGAGCAGTGAGCAGGCAGGTGGTAAGGAGCAAGGGGTTCCGGTCTGCGAGAGGGCGCAGGCCAGACTGAGGGGAACCCCCGACCCCCCAGTGCATGAACTTCATGCACTGGGCCTCTAGTGAATGCATAAATAAGTGGAACAACAAATCGATGCTTATCTCTCTCAAAAGATTAAAAAAGAACAATTGCCCTAGTCAGCTTGGCTCAGTGGATTGAGCGTCAGCCCTTGGACTGAAGGTTCCAGGGTTCAATTCCGGTCAAGGGCACATACCTCGGTTGCAGGCTCAATCCCCAGCCCTGGTTGGGGCATGTGCAGAAGGCAACCAATCAATGTGGCTCCCTCCCAACCACTCTCTCTAAAATAAATGGAAAAGTATCCTTGGGTGAGGATTAAAAAAAACAATTGAGCAAAACAGAAAAAAAGGAGAGAAAACTCATGGACATAGACAACACCAAGGTGACTGTGGGGGTTGGGGGTGGAGGTGGAAGAGGGCATAGAGGGGATAAAGGGTGATGGAAAAGATATATATATAAAACTACACAGAAACCTTGGGGCTCTACATATATTCTGAAATTTAAATGTCAAATATATCCTATACACCTTTACTGCTGTAACTGGCAAGAGAAAGTGCAAAAAATAGAAAGAAAATAAGAAAAAAAGAAAGAAAAAAGAAACCAGAAAAAGGTGAAAAGATGGAATACCTGCCAGTTCTTCAGATGGAATGTCACTGCTAGATCAAGCAAAAGGATTCTCACTTAAATCACCATTTGATCCTATTGCAAAATACCTGCCATCAGTCACAGAAGACCCCAGCATAAGTCCAAATCTTACCAGAGATCTAAATTTCCATCACAATCTGAGCCCAGAATAAAGTGAGACATGTATATAAATGGGCTGGAATTGGATACTCTTTAATTTCTATGACAAGAAAATAGAATGAATCTATAGACCTAAAAGTATTTGGCAAGTACAAACATTTAGTCAAAACTATACAGGACTTATATTCACATTTAATATATCAGGAAGCATAGATCACAATGCTTCTACCTGCTGTTACCCAAAATTTACAAGCTACCTTTTTCAAAAACTAAAGTTATCCTTACTAAATACTTAAAGCACAAGTGTAAAATGGTACAACCACTTTGGAAGACGGTTTAGCAATTTCTTATCAAGTTAAACACACACCTACCATATCACCCAGTAAGTGCACTTCTAAATATTTACCTAAGAAAAATGAAATATATGTATTCCCTCCCCAGAGGTAATTATTAATTAAGTGTATCTTTCTTACCATAAAGTGTTTCATGATAACCAATTCTTTTCCTCACTGCTGGGCATGGATTTCATCAGATGACTGGTAGCTTTGTATTGTTTTCTAACTGTGAAAAAGATGACCAGCAGCTGCAAATCCCAGTTAAGGAGATCAATGGATCACCTTTAATATTTGTTTACCTTCCTTCTGGGGAGTTCCAAATTACAAACTGGTTGTACAGTGAAACTTAATTTGTTCCAGAAGGCTGTTCGAGAAGTGATTTGTTGGAAAACCGAATGAACCCTCTTTCACCCCGTTAGAAATAATGTAAGTTAATTCGTTCCAGACTCCCAAGTGATTGTTTTAACCTTTTCTTATATACAGTACATAATTAATATATTGTTTAATCTATAAACAAACATTTCTTTTCTTAAACTTATCGAACCACCCCCTTCTAGCTTTAAACTAATCACTTTCACTATTCGTTCCAGGGGTATCTTTCAGGAAGTCAGTATGCAGCATCTTCACTTTTTCATGTATCACTGTTTCCAAAATGCTGTGTTGGGCTGTTTTCATTTATACAAATCAACAACAGTTTTTCTCCTCTTCAATTGCCTGTGATCATTGTTTCTTACATACCCTTAGCAATGTTAGCATTAAAACTATATATACATACATTTCTTAACATTTTAAATTTTTAAAAATATGTTGTTATTGATTTCAGAGAGGAAGGGAGAGGGAGAGAGAGAGATAGAAAAATCAATGATGAGAGAGAATCACTGATCAACAGCCTTCTGCACGCCCTCCACTGGGGATCAAGCACACAACCCTGGCATATGCCCTGACCATTGGGAATTGAACCTTGACCTTCTGGTTCATAGGTCAATGCTCAACCACCAAGCCACACCCCATTGGGCAATGTTAGCATTCTTGATGGCCTCTTTATGTTTTAAAATTGTGCTAACTGTCCATTTCACCAGCAACAAAAACATAAAAATATTCACAGTACAATTTCCTGAGATGTTAACAAAGAGGTTCAGCGGTAAACTGACTCTAAACTGAGTCTCATTCTCTCCTTTGTGTGTGGTCTACGAGGCGCTTTTTGTCATCTCCTAGAGCAGGGGTGGGAAAACTTTTTGACTCGAGGGCCACAATGGGTTCTTAAACTGGACTGGAGGGCCGGAACAAAAGCATGGATGGAGTGTTTGTGTGAACTACTATAAATTCAAAGTAAACATCATTACATAAAAGGGTACGGTCTTTTTTTTTTTTAGTTTTATTCATTTCAAACAGGCCGGATCCGGGCTGTGGTTTGCCCACGGCTGTCCTAGAGGCTTTTTGTCACCTTGCAGAACTTAAGTTTTGTTCCACAATGGAGACATTTTTCCTGTTAACTTAGTCGAGCACCAAATTGTTCAAGATATATATATATATATATATATATATATATATATAGTGGGAAGGTGATAAAAAGTACCACTTAGCCTTGCCTGGCATGATTCAATGGTTGAGCATCGACCTATGAACCAGGAGGTGACATCACATTCAATTCCTGGTCGGGACATGTGCTTGGGTTGTGGGCTGGATCCCCAGTGTGGGGTATGTAGGAGGCAGCTGATCAGTGATTCTCTCTCATCATTGATGTTTCTATGTATTTCTTTCTCCCTCTCCCTTCCTCTCTGAAATCAATAAAAAAAATTTTTTTTTTAAAAAGGTACCTCTTAAATTCAGCCCTGCACCAAAAAGGAAAAAAGAAAACTCCTCCCACCCTTCCCAAATTATCAAGGTAAGGATATAGGAACCAGGACTGTGTAAGTTTTAAGGGTTGACTAGAGAATCTAGTAGTTGTTCAAAACATTTTAATGATCTAATTCAGCAGTTCCTGGAACAACTGTTTCAAATTGGAGACTTCTTCATGGACCAAATATAGTATTTGGGTTGCTACTTAACTGGAGCAAACCTGAGGCCCCCAGGTTAACCTTTTCAGAGCTCCTTCAAGTATACTCTCATTTGGCCTTGGAGCATCTCATACAAGAACCTTAATCTTTTAAATTTTTTTTTCAGAGAGGAAGGGAGAGGGATAGATAGAAACATCAATGATGAGAAAGAATCATTGATTGGTTGCCTCCTGCACGCCCCTCACTGGGGATGGAGCCCACAACCTGGGCTTGTGCTGCGGACCAGAATCAAACCCAGGACCTTTCAGTCCGCAGGCTGACGCTCTATCCACTGAGCCAAACTGGTAGGTCCAAGAACCTTCATTTTTTCTAACTTTCAATTGCATAAAAACCTCTTGTCTCTACTGATAAACCCCAACCTATAATATGCAAAAATGAAATGCAGTATAATAAAGCAAATATGTATTAAGCATTAGTGCCAGACAAGGTGCTAAGACAGTGATGGCAAACCTATGACATGCGTGTCAGAGGTGACACGCGAACTCATTTTTTTGGTTGATTTTTCTTTGTTAAATGGCATTTAAATATATAAAATAAATATCAAAACTATAAGTCTTTGTTTTACTATGGTTGCAAATATCAAAAAATTTCTATATGTGACATGGCACCAGAGTTAAGTTAGGGTTTTTCAAAATGCTGACACGCTGAGCTCAAAAGGTTCGCCATCACTGTGCTAAGAGTTACTTTATCTCACTTAAAACATCACAACCAAATATCCTGACTTTAGCGAAGAGGCAACTGAGTCTTAAGGTTAACTAATGTGTCCAAGGTCACACAGCTAGAAAGCAGCTGACACAACCGTAAACAATACTGACTCCTTGTGGCAAATATTTAGGTCTAAGGGACAAATATCTAAAATACAACTTTCCGTTTATGAATTAAACTCTAAGAGTGGGAATAGAACACTTAGGAGATAAACTACTATGTCCAAAGGTACTAAGAAAAAAAGAATCCCCTTAATTTACAGTTTGCCAGAAACCTCTGGCCTTCTCCTTTACCTGCCACAAAATGTAGTAATTCTTCTGAAGGTCATAAAAACCTCCCCAAATGTGTCTATAAGAAAAAATTATAGTATTTGCTACTTTCACATTTAGATAAGGAAAGAATAAAGAACTATAAAACCTGATAAACATCAGGATGGGCCAAAAATAACACAAAACAGAAAACTGTTCTACCACTAAAAACGAGAAAATTGTTTTACCACTAGTTAAGGAGTCAGTTTCCCCAAGATGGGCTTTGGTTTCTTCTTCTATAATATAAGATGGTCTCCATGATCTGATGTGCATGCCAGCCTTACCATTCTATGATAAATGATAAAATCTTAAATTGAATGAAGGGAAACATATTCCTTAGGTGTGTAAATGTCTACTTAAAACACTCAAAATAGCCAAGCAAACCTTATTAGTTTTGTGTTTGTGAGTTTATATGTTAAAATATGTATGGTTAGGGGCTAAGTGATGTAGCATATACATCCATCATGGACCAAGATCAAACTGTGGTTATAATAATTAAAATTATAGTGCTGGGCAGTCAGTGGGAACACATATATTAGGAGAAGGAAAAATAAGAGACAGGAATCAGCAAAGCATTTCATACTCCAACAAACAGGCTTTAACCTGAAGCAAACAATAAAGCCTCCCCACATCTGTGATCCCAGTATTGCTGGTCCGTGGTACCCCATTTTCGAAACAGTAATGGCCTCTTTCCGACCTCAGGAAACAACCACACACGTGGAAGAATTAGATCGTGGCAGAGCAGTTTCTAAAATTTAACAGAACGGTCTGTGAAGGTAACCCACAAACGCCAACCGAGAAAATGCCTGATTAAAAAAAAGTATAAAGTATACTGTGTCCCACCAAGGAAGCATATTGTGTTCCCGAAAGACTCTGGGGCGGCGGTGCCGGTACACTAAGGGACCTCCCCCGCCCCTACACTGAGCGGCGCGTCCGGTGGCTCAATGTCACCTTCGCCAAAGCGCTGATGGCGGCGGACACTCCCAATCAGGTGGCCCCTGGGGTCAGAGCAGGGGTATGACGGTCACGCCCCGGGGACCGTAGGGGTCGGGTGGACGCGGGAAGTGCGCTGGGACCCCTCTTTGGCGCCTACGGCAGGTCCACACCTGACCCGTCCGCGGTGGCCGCACACGAAGTCGCTGAGGTAGGCCCCGGGGGCGCGTCCTCGAGTCCTCCAGGCCGGAAGGCGGCGGGGAGGGCGGCCAGTGGCCACTGGGTTCAGCCGCCCGCCGGCAGGGCAGCCTAGGCCGCGGGGCGAGCCTGTTCTCGCGTGGCGGCGGGGGCCCAGGTCACCGCAAGGACACACGGGCGAAGGAGCGGACCTTACCCGCGGCGGGGCCGGGGGCCGGTGCGGGGTGCAGGAGGCCTCGAGAGCTGGCTCGGGAGGCTGCGGCCGCTGCTACAGCGCAGCGGCGGAGAGCGGCACCCAGCATAACGGCGATGGCGGCGCACGGGCTGAAGCTGAAGAGAAGCCGGCTGTGAGCTCACCGGCCGTTCCGGAGCTCCCGGGGCCGCACTGACGCACTGACGCACAGTGGGCGGAGCACGAGACCCCACCCACTGCGGCGCTGCACCTCGGCCGGAGGGAGCCGGGCGCAGCGGGGCGGGCGGGCTACGGCGGCGGGTTGTGGACAAACTGGGCGCTGGGTCCCGCCGCTGCCATCATGAAGCGAAGATGGAGGGAAGAGCAGCGAGTGGTGAATGGTGGAGGTTCAAGTCCTGCTTGGGGCTACTCCATCACCTCGAAAGGGGAATAACAATACCAAGGACAAATTATAATAAAAATACCTTTGCTTCACCCTATCCCGGGTTTGAGCCTAAAATAAGAGAACGAATGGGGAGGAAAAGCAACTGCTTACATATAAGGGACCTTATTAGCAACTATTCTTATCCACAAATCCGCAAGCATTAAAAAATGAGTTCACACACGCTGGCATGGCTCAGTGGTTGAATGTCGACCTATGAACCAGGAGGTCATGATTTGATTCCCGGTCAGGGCACAGGCCCTGGTTGCAGGCTGGATCCCCAGTGTGGGGCATGCAAGAGGCAGCCGATCAATGATTCTCTCATCATTGATGTTTCTCTCTCTCTCTCTCTCCCTCTCCCTTCCTCTCTGAAATCAATAAAAATAGATTTTAAAAAAATGAGTTCAGCCCTGGCCACTGCTGCTCAGGGGTAGAGCTCCTCCATGCACCAAGAGGTTACCCCTGTTTGATTCCCCAGGACACAGGCCCAAGTTGCAGTTCTGTCCCTGGTAGGGAGCCAGCAGGAGGCAGCCAATGGATGTTTCTTTGTCACCCAGGTTTCTCTCTCTTGTGGAGGCAAAGGGGCCACATGCTAACCTGACAGGTAACCTTGCAAACTCAGAGACATAAAGTAACTGAAATGGAATTTTGGACTGGAACCCGGATTCTTTGTTGGCCAGTGTCGAAGAAAGAATCCATGGGCAGAGGTGGTATAGCAAAGGTCGAAATTTATTGAAGAAGAAGTAAAGACTCCCATGTGGGGAGAGGGAAAGTGTCCCACAGAATGGACTCCCACGTGGGGAGGGGGAAAGAGTCCCACTGACTTCCTGTTTTCATGGTTTATAAAGGCTGCAAGTCCCTGTGTCCTGATATCCCCTCTGATTGGTCACTATAGCAACTCCTGAACTCAAAGGTCAAACACCACATAGGACATGTGATGCCCTCTTCCCTCATTGTTCTTTTCTTTCTGGGCTTTCTTTCTTCTTTATTTTGTAAACTAGTGGCCCGGTGCATGAAATTTGTGCATGGGGGAGGGGGGTGTCCCTCAGCCTGGCCTGCACCCTCTCCAATCTGGGACCACTCGGGGGTGTCTGACTGCTGGTTTAGGCCCGATCCCTGCTGGCCCCCAACTGCCCCCCCATGCCAGCCTGCTCGCCCCCAAATGCCACCCCTGCCAGCCTGATTGTCCCAAACTGCCCCTCTCCCCCACTGGCCTGATCGCCTTCAACTGCCCCCTGGCCTCCCTCCACCCCCACCCCTGCTGGCCTGATCGCCCTTAACCACCTCTGCCTCAGCCCCACCACCATGCCTTTGTCCAGAAGGATGCCCAGAAGGTCTCCCGGTCTAATTAGCATATTGCTCTTTTATTAGTAGAGACTAGTGGCCCAGTGCACAAAATTCATGCGGGGGGGGGGGTGTCCCTCAGCCCGGCCTGCACCCTCTCCAACCTGGGACCCCTCAGGGGATGTCCAACTGCCGGTTTAGGCCTGATCCCCCAACTGACCCCGCCCTGCCGGCCTGCTTGCCCCCAACAGGCCCCCCCCTGCCAGCCTGATCCCCCCAACTGCCCTCCCCTCCTGGCCTGATTGCCCCTAACCACCTCTGCCTTGGACAGGCCACCATGGCTTTGTCTGGAAGGACGTCTGGAAGGTCGCCTGGAAGATCTTCTGGTCTAATTAGCATATTACCCTTTTATTAGTATAGATACAGTATAGACCTTTTTGGCTACTTCCAGCTCCCTTGTCTTATGTAAATGCAACTGTTGCTGCTCCCTGCACCTGCTTTCCTTGTGTTATGGAGATGTACCTTCTCCCAATCTGTAGCCCTGTGTTTTTCCATGGACCCCAATTCTAAAAATTCCCTAAGCCTGCTTATATTCCCCTAAAATTCTTTTTTCATAACCACAAAGGATGGTCTGAAATTAAAACTTTTTAAAACTAAAAAACAGGAGAAACCAAGATGGCGGCATAGGTAAACACCAGAGATTGCTGCCTTGCACAACCACTTCAAAAATACAACTAAAAGATGGAACGGACATCACCCAGAACCACAGAAAGGCTGGCTGAGTGGAAATTCTACAACTAGAAGGAAAGAGAAAAGCATACCGAGACTCAGAGGAGGTGTGGTGCAGAAATAAAATACTAAGGTGCGGAGGTGCATGTGGAGCAGGCTGGCGGCTGAGGGCGAGGTTGTCTTTTTCAATCGGGAGGGTGTCTCAGGCTCTGAGCTCCAGTTCCGGGCGAGTCTCTGGGGACCCAGACTCAAACAGGAGAAGCGGGACTGTCTGGCATCGGTCGGAACTCGAGGGCAGCTTTCTCTCCGAGGTACTTGCAGCAATTGCTGGGACACTGAGAAGCAGAGCCACTGAAGGCAGGACTGAGAGCAGCCATAACTGCTAGCCCCGCCTGCCCTGTTGATCTCCTGGGACCTGCCCTGCCCAAGCCTTGCATGCAGGCATTTGCTGGATAGCCTTAGGCAGAGGCTAGATTAGCACCTCCCTAGAGATCAGGACAGAAGTTCTCCCACTGCAGACACAGCTGATTCTCACAGCCAATTGGCCTGGAGGTCAAATCCCCCCCAGTGTTACCTACAACAATCAAGGCTTAACTACAACAAGACTGTGCACAAAGACCACAAGGGGGTGCACCAAGAAAGCATAAAAAATGCGGAGACAAAGAAATAGGACACTAATGACAGAAATGGAGGAAAGCAAACTGCTGGATATAGAGTTCAAAACCATACTTTTAAGGTGTTTCATGAACTGTCTAGAAGCCGCCGATAAATTTAGTAAGGCCCTCGAAAAGACTGGTGAGACGGCTGATAAATGTAGTGAGATCCTCAAGAAATCTAGTGAGACCCTCGATGTTGTGATAAAGGACCAACTAGAAATTAAGCATACACTGACTGAAATAAAGAATATTATATAGACTCCCAACAGCAGATGAGAGGATCGCAAGAATCAAGTCAATGATTTGAAATACGAAGAAGCAAAAAACACCCAACCAGAAAAGCAAAATGAAAAAAGAATCCAAAAATACGAAGATAGGGTAAGGAGCCTCTGGGACAACTTCAAGCACACCAACATCTGAATTATAGGGGTGCCAGAAGAAGAGAGAGAGCAAGGTATTGAAAACCTATTTGAAGAAATAATGACAGAAAACTTTCCCTACCTGGTGAAAGAAATAGACTTCCAAGTCCAGGAAGCGCAGAGAACCCCAAACAAAAGGAATCCAAAGAGGACCACACCAAGACACATCATAATTAAAATGCCAAGAGCAAAAGACAAAGAAAGACTCTTAAAAGCAGCAAGAGAAAGAAAGTCAGTTACCTACAAGGGAGTACCCATACGACTGTCAGCTGATTTCTCAACAGAAACTTTGCAGGCCAGAAGGGAGTGGCAAGAAATATTCAAAGTGATGAATGCCGAGAACCTAGAACCAAGATTACTTTATCCAGCAAAGCTATCATTCAGAATTGAAGGTCAGATAAAGAGCTTCACAGATAAGAAAAAGCTAAAGGAGTTCATCACTACCAAACCAGTATTATATGAAATGCTGAAAGGTATCCTTTAAGAAGAGGAAGAAGAAGAAAAAGGTAAAGATACAAATTATGAACAACAAATACACATCTATCAACAAGTGAATCTAAAAATCAAGGGAATACATAATCTGATGAACAGAATGAACTGGTGATTATAATGGAATCAGGGGCATAGAAAGGGAATGGACTGACTATTCTTGGGGGGGAAAGGGGTGTGGGGGATGCAGGAAGAGACTGGACAAAAATCGTGCACCTATGAATGAGGACTGTGGGTGGAGAGTAAGGGCGGAGGGTGTGGTGGGAACTGGGTGGAGGGGAGTTAAGGGGGGAAAAAAAGAGGAACAAATGTAATAATCTGAACAATAAAGATTTAATTAAAAACAAAACTAAAAAACAGTTTATGGTGGGTCGTCTTGTCCTAGACTTGTATCTTCTCTGACAAAGTTCAATCTTTACCTTAACTGAGCCTGTCTATTGTCTTTTTGCATCTACAGTAACCTATCTTTGGAATGTCAAAGTAATTTTCCTTTTCTGGACCCCTCAAAGCACAGGCACCTCTCTTCAGAGACCACAAATCCCCTCATTGTTATTGAGTTAATTGTTGAGTGTTAACTACCCTAAACCCACTTAAGTAAAAGAAGTATGTATCTATTATTTTACTTTTTATCCAATCCCAGAGGTCCCTCCTCACCCACTTTGCATTCTTCCACTGTTAGGTCTGATCAAATAATTGAATCAATACCCTCTTCCCCTGTCAACTGACCTTTAGACCACTTCACAACCGACATTCCGTTTTGCTTAGACCACATTCCACTTGCTAAGACCGGACCTTTCCACCTTGGGGCTTCTGATCCGTCCTTCCCTGACCCCTCAGGTCCCTCAGACCCTTCCTTCAACCCTTCCAGTTACTCAATTCTCCATTCCCCTCCCAGTGTCCTTGAACCCAACTCCTTATGTTCCTCTTTCCTCCTTCAGTATCCACCTCTTTGTCCACCCCCTCAACCTTCTTACCAAGCCCCCCCTCTTCTTTGTTC